TTCACCAACGCCACCGAGGAAGCTCCGCGTTTGAGTCTTTCAAGATAAATGTTTCTCTGTACTCTATAGGATGTGGGATTGAATATTAGTTCCTTTCAGTAATTAAACAAATCAATCCCTTACCTCACAGTTATGTCAAATGTTAAAAACAATGGCTCTCTGCAGCGTCTTCAATTGACGTCGATGATGACAACGCCGACGAGGCCGTGGAGTAGAAAGAGCACCATTGCATAGTTTGACGTTGAGTTTTGATGTTGGGTCAGAGCTTCGGGAGATGCGGAGCGAATTTTTGAGATGTCTACGGGGAACGAGTGACAGTGGGCAGGCGTTTGGTACCCAGCCGTTCCGTTGTCTAAAGTTGTCCACCGCGTTCAAAGCGTGGAGTCTGCTCGCGTCTCTGCATGGGGTATCCACAGCGTCTACGATATGCAAATTGAAACCGTTGGTCTACAAAGTTACCGGGGTGTTGGGCTGTTGGACCCTGACTATGACTGTAACTTGCAACTTTGGTGGGGATCTTAGACAGGCTGGAGTCTCTACACGAGCCACCAATCCTACCTTCAGGGCATCTAAAACAACAATGACAACAACGACTCGTGTAACGTGTAAACTAAAGTAACCCGGCCTCAGAGGGCCTTCATTGATTCACCCAGGCTGATAAAGCGGCGTGGCCTCGGAGAAAGCTAACAGATATTTTTAGAGGCAGCGGTGGCTGTTGGTGTCACACTGTGTCCTGGCGCACCTTCTTTCCCACGCTGCTATCATGTGGACACAAGCTTTTTTTTAAGCTCACCACTGCCATAAAGTTAATATCCGAAAGTGTCCCGGCCACTCTCATAATCCTCTGCTGCTTGCAACGCAGAGAGGACTTTTTTTCTCAACAGCAAAGGGAAATGGAGAAAGATAACCACATTTTGAAGCTTGTGTGGGCACATGCAATATTCTTGACATTTTGCCTTAAGGAGGCCAAATGCCCATTAGATTTCTCGCCAATTTGTACTCGGATTATATTTCACGAGCCTCCTCAGCTATCCAGCCATCACGTGGTGCTCCTCATCTGGCCGAATAAAAAAACACGCAAACCACAAAGTGGCGTATTCGTGTTGCCCACGTTGGAAATCATAACGACAGATTGCCCCGACTGCCGTCGGTGATGAGAACCTCGTCTCACCTCGCATCAACGCTGTCGTCGGTGATGAGAACCTCGTCTCACCTCGCATCAACGCTGATGCGGTGATGAGAACCCCGTCTCACCTCGCATCAACGCTGTCGTCGGTGATGAGAACCTCGTCTCACCTCGCATCAACGCTGATGCGGTGATGAGAACCCGTCTCACCTCGCATCAACGCTGATGCGGTGATGAGAACCCGTCTCACCTCGCATCAACGCTGATGCGGTGATGAGAACCCGTCTCACCTCGCATCAACGCTGATGCGGTGATGAGAACCCCGTCTCACCTCGCATCAACGCTGATGCGGTGATGAGAACCCCGTCTCACCTCGCATCAACGCTGTCGTCGGTGATGAGAACCTCGTCTCACCTCGCATCAACGCTGATGCGGTGATGAGAACCCCGTCTCACCTCGCATCAACGCTGATGCGGTGATGAGAACCCGTCTCACCTCGCATCAACGCTGATGCGGTGATGAGAACCCGTCTCACCTCGCATCAACCCTGATGCGGTGATGAGAACCCGTCTCACCTCGCATCAACGCTGATGCGGTGATGAGAACCTCGTCTCACCTCGCATCAACGCTGTCGTCGGTGATGAGAACCCCGTCTCACCTCGCATCAACGCTGATGCGATATGAAGCGTGAGGCTGCCACCTCCGTGTACCCTCTCTTGGCAGGAACATGACTCTGAGTTTATTTGATTTTTTAACACGACTATTTTACACGGGAGATCCGTGGTTCCACGTGAGCACAGACGCAAACAAAAATTAAAGACAAAAACATCAACAATACAGAGGACGAGTGCAGGCTCCTTCAGCAATATTTCACAACTAACAAACGAGTTGTTTGACGGTCGTAAATTCGACACGCGAATCTAAAAGAACACTGTGCAAATGTAGTGTGACGGCAAGACGCGCCAGATGCAAGTAAGCTTTTATTCTTTAGTCTGACAGTGACATAAACACACGCAAAACGAAAAAAACAACAGTGCAAACATGGGAGCAAGAGGCGTCAGAATAAAGTTAGGTGCAAGAAAGCTGTGTTTTGGTTTAATGGGGGAAATAAAGAAGGGGGGGAAGGGGGTTGGGAGGGAACCAAGGTGTGTAGATGAGTGGTTAGGGGGTTCCAGAAATGTGGAGCAGCATTGCGGAATTCGTTTTAATTTTTTTTTACCAAAGTTGTAGCAAATGGAATGTTTAGTAGGAATAAGGAGGCACTTCTGCGGCTATGGGAAGGGATTTAGAGGAACAAAGTCGTCCTTTCGGCAACCTGTGAAACGCCGATATTTCACACGGAAGGTCCTAGACGAGTCACATTGAAGCGTGCACGAGTTGAGGAGGCCGGGCCATGGGTGCTGCTGCGGGGTGAGTGAGCGGCCACGCTCGACTACATCCGCAGCCACGTAAACCTGTGTCGACTCACAGCCGCGTTTGCCCTCTGATAACCCCGACCTGTCCCCCTGATCCACGTGTTCCCCATTCTGTCTCTCAGTGCGGAGCAGAGATTAGCTGCTGTGCATTCTCACGAGCTTGCACACAGCAATACAGCTGTACATTTTCACTAGCTTGTACACAGCAATACAGCTGTGTATCCTCACTAGCTTGTACACAGTAATACAGCTGTGTATCCTCACTAGCTTGTACACAGTAATACAGCTGTGTATTCTCACTAGCTTGTACACAGCAATACAGCTGTGTATCCTCACTAGCTTGTACACAGTAATACAGCTGTGTATTCTCACTAGCTTGCACACAGTAATACAGCTGTGTATTCTCACTAGCTTGTACACAGCAATACAGCTGTGTATTCTCATTAGCTTGTACACAGTAATACAGCTGTGTATTCTCACTAGCTTGTACACAGCAATACAGCTGTGTATTCTCACTAGCTTGTACACAGTAATACAGCTGTGTATTCTCACTAGCTTGTACACAGTAATACAGCTGTGTATGCTCACTAGCTTGTACACAGTAATACAGCTGTGTATTCTCACTAGCTTGTACACAGTAATACAGCTGTGTATGCTCACTAGCTTGCACACAGCAATACAGCTGTGTATTCTCACTAGCTTGTACACAGTAATACAGCTGTGTATTCTTACTAGCTTGCACACAGCAATACAGCTCTGTATCCTCACTAGCATGCACACAGCAATACAGCTGTGTATTCTCACTAGCTTGCACACAGCAATACAGCTGTGTATTCTTACTAGCTTGCACACAGCAATACAGCTGTGTATCCTCACTAGCATGCACACAGCAATACAGCTGTGTATTCTCACTAGCTTGCACACAGCAATACAGCTGTGTATTCTCACTAGCTTGCACACAGCAATAAAGCTGTGCATGCTCACTAGCATGCACACAGCAATAAGGCTGTGTATTCTCACTAGCTTGTACACAGTAATACAGCTGTGTATTCTCACTAGCTTGTACACAGCAATACAGCTGTGTATCCTCACTAGCTTGTACACAGCAATACAGCTGTGTATCCTCACTAGCTTGTACACAGTAATACAGCTGTGTATTCTCACTAGCTTGCACACAGCAATACAGCTGTGTATTCTCACTAGCTTGTACACAGCAATACAGCTGTGTATTCTCACTAGCTTGCATACAGCAATACAGCTGTGTATTCTCACTAGCTTGCACACAGCAATACAGCTGTGTATTCTCACTAGCTTGGACACAGCAATACAGCTGTGTATTCTCACTAGCTTGCACACAGCAATACAGCTGTGTATTCTCACTAGCTTGGACACAGCAATACAGCTGTGTATTCTCACTAGCTTGCACACAGCAATACAGCTGTGTATTCTCACTAGCTTGGACACAGCAATACAGCTGTGTATTCTCACTAGCTTGTACACAGTAATACAGCTGTGTATTCTCACTAGCTTGCACACAGCAATACAGCTGTGTATTCTCACTAGCTTGGACACAGCAATACCGCTGTGTATTCTCACTAGCTTGGACACAGCAATACAGCTGTGTATTCTCACTAGCTTGGACACAGCAATACCGCTGTGTATCCTCACTAGCTTGCATTGGTCACTATTGGCCATTTCACTCCCCCATGCAAAAATCCCACCTCGGGGTACCAACCTGTGATTTCATCTAAAAGACTTTTGCTACCCACTACTCATACTTGTTCAAGTGTTTTGTCTTTTTTCAGGCTTTATTTGCCGTGCAAAATATATAATGCTCACCTCCACTTTCTGAAGTCATACATTTGTAGATATTGATTTAATTTTCACAAAACGATTGCTACATTTTGGATTCTGTAATATTTATTTTTCCCACTGTGTGCTTGCAAAGTTTTTGCCACGTTTTTACTTCCGTATCTGTCCTTGTGTGTTACGCAATTATTTTTTTGCGAGGGATAGTCGTGGTCTCAAATAGGATCTCACTTGGTTTAAAGTATGTATTATTCGCTATATATCTGTATATGTATATACATGATATATCACATTCCTTTGAGAACACCAGATGTGTTTTATTTTCCTATTTCCTGCAAATATGCTGCGATGGAATTGGCTGTGCTTCGTTTATCTTTTGAGAGACATCTCGCTCAGAGTGGGGGCACACATCACGACGATACGCATTATAAATTTTGATGCTTGCAAAACCCGTGGTTTCGGTGAGACAGGCTGTTCCTGTTAAATAGTTTCTAGATTGATAAATGTGGGAACTCCCCAAGCTGAATGCGTTTGCATGCCACTGCTTGGCATTTTCGTTCAATCGTGTGATTAAGATGATGCCGTCCTTAGGATTTTATACACACGCATTTATTTGCCTCTGCACGTCTGTCCGTCGGGTCTGCCCACAGCTGTTGGATCTGTTTCTCGACTGGGACTGGGCCGAGTACCTGGCTGACTATGGCAAGCCGCACGCTCGCTACCTCCGTGTGGATGCTGGCACCGCGCTCACGCTGCTAGAGAGGTGGGGGGGGGCTCTCTGCTTCGTATGCCGCACGCGCCCACCAACACCAGCCCCCCACTCTTTGAACTTGAACCACAACTGTATCCTAAGTCTGTCACTGACACCCTAGTCATAACGATGTCATCAGTGTTGAGCCCTAACCCAGAACATACACCTGAATCTTACAACCTTAGTAGTATTTTTTTCTACCTATCCACTGCTAGATGAAGACCTCCCCACATTGTATTTTGGAGTTTTTCGCTAGGCCATGTGTGTTGGAGAAGGGATAGTGGCCCAAACCGACTTCAGGTATCACTCACCTCTGATGTTAGCCATGGCCCGGAATCAAACCTCGGTTGCAGTGTTTATAGAGCAGTGTGTAAACCACCACTCCCTCCTGATTATGCACGTCATTATTTTGACGATAACATCCCAACCTTAATGTTATCCACGAATAATGCCCTATATTTTAGGTATACTACAGGGAGAATTGTCGAGTAATTATCGCATAAGCGCACTATTCTACAATCTTAGCCACACAGATTCAACTCTCGACCCTGTGCTTGCAGCGGGTGTGCTATGGTGTGCTTGCACAATTGCACGTGGACTTGAGTCCCGAGCCAGTATGGCTACCCGAGGACTCAAGTCGAGGATGTGCAGCTTGGGTGGAATCTGGAGTCATGTCTGGTCACAGCGCTTGCGCTGGTTTCCCTCCCCTCGCGGTGCGTCGACGGCGTTGCGCGGGAGCGGACGCGGAGCGGAGGGGAGCGGAGGGGACGCGGCCGTGCCGCCTCCCGCTGCCATTTGTTTTGCGTTAGGGCTCAGCGTGGGCGCCTGAGTTGAAGGACCGCGTCGAAGTCGCATTGCAGAACGGTGCCATGACGAGAAGAGGGGAGGCGGAACGCGAGAGACCCATTTGTCCCCGAGGTTTCTCGGCCGCCCGGGGACTCATTGCCGCGAGAAGCGAATAACAGCGCCTTAGCGACGGACTTGTGTGAGCGAGGGACGGGACGAAGCCGGTCGGGTTACACGCGCAACCATCGGAAATGTATATCTGGATCTTAAGTTACGCCGGTCAACTGAGGCTTTCGTGGGTCCCCGGCGCAGTAATGCCACGTACGCATTGGGGAGATAAATGCGGTTAGGTGTAGTGTCAGCCACCCCATTAATTAAGCATATGACCAGAACCTTTATCACAAACACAGTGATGTTCATATTCCTAGTTTAAATAAAATTCCCGTCCGCAAAACTAGCCATCGTCAGCCATAGACAGAGCCACAACGTTGGCTTGGCTCTTACGTTACGTCGTTCAACTTGGGCTTATGCAGCCAGGTGTAGTGTTCGTCACACCACCCATGTGTAAACAATTCCAGCGTTACAGTCTTAAGGTTCTTGTTGTGTATGGTCAGACTTGTTTCGTTTAGACCTATAGTATATATGTGTGTGTGTGTATCAGGGAAGTCTTCACGATTTTCTGATGAATCTGAAAACGCTGAAAATCCATCCAAGACATGACATTTCAGATGAATTGAAAACATTTTTGTTGTGACGTCACACCCGTGTGTATCCCACAAAAGTGGCATCACGAGACGCCGATTTGATGAAACTTGATGTCACTTTTGCTTCAATTGTTTCCTTCAAAATTATTGTTTTATTGATGGAACTTTACGTAAAATAAAATGCATATTCAAAATTAATGTTTAAAATGTTTACAATTATAACTATTAGTGCATCGGCAATGGCAGTTATAACCATATACATCTTAAAACATGGCAACGTAAAATAAAATCCGAAATTAGGTCTTAAAATTTGAAAGTGAAATTTCTGAAAAAATGAAGTGGAAAACTCATCTTGAATGGCCACGTGTACAAGGGTTGCAACAATATAAATTTTCACAATTCGATATCACATCTGACAATTTAATGATTACCGCAATATCACCTTCCCATAACTGTGTATTTTGCATTTGTATTGTTTTATTTTTTGTGCTTTACCGTAAGAATAAATATTACAACTGCGATTCACTCAAAATGAGCCTGCCGTTAGTGTTCCAAACATCACAACTTTACAATCTGTAATGCTTCTAATGCACATGCTCTCCGTTACATGTACTGGGGAAATGATGACATGTAATTCCCATTCCGTAAATTACTTCGAAAAACATTTAGCTAAATCACTGATTTAATGGATAAGTGATTTATTTGTAACTTTAATTGAGTTTGTTATTCCGTAAATATTTTGTCAGGAAATAAAATATTTAGAAAAATAAAACAAGCATCAATAATAACGATATAACAATATTCTTGGTTCTTTCGGTAAAGTCACGTAGAAGGGAAACAATATATAACAATAAAATTCTGAGATTTTTTTGAGAATTTTATTGTTTTATATTTTTATTATTTTATTGTTTCCTTTCTACGTGACTTTACCGAAAGAACCAAGAATATGAATCCCTGCAGTCACGAAAGCTTTAAATCAAGATATAACAATACTTTGAACAACGGGTGATATTCCGAAATATTGTACGATATATTGTACGACGTATCGAATTACTGTATCATATTTTCGGAGTATCGCTATATTGCTGCAACTCTCATGTATATACTGTATAAGTGCGCATGTGTATCTGTGTACATGTGGGGAGCGGTAGAGTGGTGGTCCGGCACACTGCGTTACAAACCTGGCGACCCAAGTTCAATTCCTGTTCACGGCCAACATCAGTGACGAACATCTGAACCAGTGCTGGGCATCGCCTAGGTCGCCTCTGCTTTAAATTCGTATCTAGTGCGGTGTGTACACATCACCACTGGGATACAGAGGCGACCGGGCATGGGGCTCACCACTCACCCCCTTGTGCGTTGTACTGGCCTTCATAGGTGTTCGCTAACAGCACTTGCCCCAACAGCCTGTTAAGGCTATACAGATGATCTTTGTGTTTGTGGCACGTATAAATAGGACTTGTTACAAAGTAAGGCCTTTGCCCAAAATAACACCTGTTGTACATATTTTTTTTAATTTTAAGGCAGTGTTACTGACGCATTGTGTGTGATCACCACTGCCACCGTAGCGTCACCAAGTAATGCGTCTTTGATGGGTGCAGGATGAGGCATGGCCGTCCCAGGCAGGGCGGTGTGAGCCAGTTGCGCGGTGCAGAGCGAGATGAGGTGGCCCTCTACCACAGCATCCTGCAGCAGCTTCGGGCCGTCGCTGCAGGTCTCACGCCCGCAGGTCTCACGCCAGCAGATCTCACAGTCACAGGTCTCACGCCACAGGTCTCACGTCACAGGTCTCACGCCACAGGTCTCACGCCCGCAGGTCTCACGCCAGCAGATCTCACAGTCACAGGTCTCACGCCACAGGTCTCACGCCACAAGTCTCACGTCACAGGTCTCACGCCACAGGTCTCACGCCACAGATCTCACAGTCACAGGTCTCACGCCACAAGTCTCACGCCACAGGTCTCACGCCACAGATCTCACACCACAAGTCTCACGCCACAGGTCTCACGCCACAGATCTCACAGTCACAGGTCTCACGCCACAGGTCTCACGGCCACAGGTCTCACGCCAGCAGATCTCACACCAGCAGGTCTCACAGTCACAGGTCTCACGCCAGCAGATCTCACAGCCACAGGTCTCACGCCACAGGACTCACAGTCACAGGTCTCACGGCCACAGGTCTCACGCCACAGGTCTCACAGCCACAGGTCTCACAGCCACAGGTCTCACGCCACAGGTCTCACGGCCACAGGTCTCACGCCACAGATCTCACAGTCACAGGTCTCACAGTCACAGGTCTCACAGTCACAGGTCTCACAGCCACAGGTCTCACACCACAGGTTTCACGGCCACAGGTCTCACGCCAGCAGATCTCACAGCCACAGGTCTCACGCCACAGGTCTCACGCCACAGGTCTCACAGCCACAGGTCTCACGCCAGCAGATCTCACGCCACAGGTCTCACACCACAGGTCTCACACCACAGGTCTCACAGTCACAGGTCTCACAGTCACAGGTCTCACGTCAGCAGGTCTCACAGTCACAGGTCTCACGCCACAGGTCTCACAGCCACAGGTCTCACGCCAGCAGATCTCACAGTCACAGGTCTCACGCCACAGGTCTCACGCCACAGGTCTCACAGCCACAGGTCTCACGCCAGCAGATCTCACGCCACAGGTCTCACACCACAGGTCTCACAGTCACAGGTCTCACAGTCACAGGTCTCACGTCAGCATGTCTCACAGTCACAGGTCTCACGCCACAGGTCTCACAGCCACAGGTCTCACGCCACAGGTCTCACGCCACAGATCTCACGGCCACAGGTCTCACGCCACAGGTCTCACGGCCACAGGTCTCACGCCACAGGTCTCACGCCACAGGTCTCACAGTCACAGGTCTCACGCCACAGGTCTCACGCCACAGATCTCACGGCCACAGGTCTCACGCCACAGGTCTCACGGCCACAGGTCTCACGCCACAGGTCTCACGCCACAGGTCTCACAGTCACAGGTCTCACGCCACAGGTCTCACAGCCACAGGTATCACAACCACAGGTCTCACGCCACAGATCTCACAGCCACAGGTCTCACGCCACAGGTCTCACAGCCACAGGTCTCACAGCCACAGGTTTCACGGCCACAGGTCTCACGCCAGCAGATCTCACAGCCACAGGTCTCACGCCACAGGTCTCACGCCACAGGTCTCACAGTCACAGGTCTCACGCCACAGGTCTCACAGCCACAGGTCTCACGCCAGCAGATCTCACAGTCACAGGTCTCACGCCACAGGTCTCACGCCACAGGTCTCACAGCCACAGGTCTCACGCCAGCAGATCTCACGCCACAGGTCTCACACCACAGGTCTCACACCACAGGTCTCACGCCACAGGTCTCACAGTCACAGGTCTCACGCCACAGGTCTCACAGTCACAGGTCTCACAGCCACAGATCTCACAGTCACAGGTCTCACAGTCACAGGTCTCACGCCACCGATCTCACAGCCACAGGTCTCACGCCACAGGTCTCACAGTCACAGATCTCACAGTCACAGGTCTCACGCCACAGGTCTCACACCAGTAGGTCTCACGCCACAGGTCTCACGCCACAGGTCTCACGCCACAGGTCTCACGCCACAGGTCTCACGCCACAGGTCTCACAGTCACAGATCTCACAGTCACAGGTCTCACGCCACAGGTCTCACGGCCACAGGTCTCACGGCCACAGGTCTCACGCCACAGGTCTCACGCCACAGGTCTCACAGTCACAGGTCTCACGCCACAGGTCTCACAGTCACAGGTCTCACGCCACAGGTCTCACAGCCACAGGTATCACAACCACAGGTCTCACGCCACAGATCTCACAGCCACAGGTCTCACGCCACAGGTCTCACAGCCACAGGTATCACAACCACAGGTCTCACGCCACAGATCTCACGCCACAGGTCTCACGCCACAGGTCTCACAGTCACAGGTCTCACGCCACAGGTCTCACGCCACAGATCTCACAGCCACAGATCTCACGCCACAGGTCTCACGCCACAGATCTCACAGCCACAGATCTCACGCCACAAGTCTCACGCCACAGGTCTCACAGTCACAGGTCTCACGCCACAGGTCTCACGCCACAGGTCTCACGCCACAGGTCTCACGCCACAAGTCTCACGCCACAGGTCTCACGCCACAGATCTCACAGCCACAGGTCTCACGCCACAAGTCTCACAGCCACAGGTCTCACGCCACAGGTCTCACGGCAGCCTTCCGCAGGCACTGCCGTATTGGTGATGCACCTCGACGATTGTTTATCTAATTTCCTGCAAACCGAGTTTTATTCTGTCCACGTACCGAAGCAGTCTGAATTGGTATTTGAACATGGCTCTAACCTCCCTCGTGCTGAATTTCCACCTAACATCAGTACCCAGTGTGTGATCGATGGGCGTCGATGAATCGTCGCGTACGTGGGCGAGAACGCGTTGCATGTTTCGATTCAAGCGAGATGCAACCTCAAAGTAACAAATCGTTCTTGTAGACAGACGGCGCGTTTCTGAAGCTTGTTAATGAGGCCAAGACCAAAGTCACGGACACTCATTAACTCACCCATGTCGCTGCTTCGATGAGAAGAGGAGTGACGTCGCTGCAATGCAACGACACGCTCGGCCACTCCTCGTGCGTGCTACACGGAGCCGAGTTACACGCCTGCAACAACTGTTTGTGCTTTGTGTTGCATTTGCTAATGCTGTCTGTTGCACAAGAGATGAAACTGAATCGTCGACTTAACCCGACACCGCTCGCAGTGTCGTCCGGAGCCTGTGACCCGAGTGGTTCATGTAACCCCCCCCCCCTCCGTTTCCCACGTGGTCCGTGTGGCCCCCCGTTACCCACGTGGCGCGTGTGGCTCCCCGTTACCCACATGGCTCGTGTGGCCCCCCGTTACCCACGTGGCTCGTGTGGCCCCCCCGTTACCCACGTGGTGCGTGTGGCCCCCCGTTACCCACGTGGTGCGTGTGGCCCCCCGTTACCCACGTGGTGCGTGTGGCCCCCCGTTACCCACGTGGCTCGTGTGGCCCCCCCGTTACCCACGTGGCTCGTGTGGCCCCCCGTTACCCACGTGGTGCGTGTGGCCCCCCGTTACCCACGTGGTGCGTGTGGCCCCCCGTTACCCACGTGGTGCGTGTGGCCCCCCGTTACCCACGTGGCTCGTGTGGCCCCCCCGTTACCCACGTGGCTCGTGTGGCCCCCCGTTACCCACGTGGCTCGTGTGGCCCCCCGTTACCCACGTGGCTCGTGTGGCCCCCCGTTACCCACGTGGTGCGTGTGGCCCCCCGTTACCCACGTGGCTCGTGTGGCCCCCCGTTACCCACGTGGTGCGTGTGGCCCCCCGTTACCCACGTGGTGTGTGTGGCCCCCCGTTACCCACGTGGTGCGTGTGGCCCCCCCCCGTTTCCCCAGGGCGCGTGGGGGAGGCTCTCTCGCGACGCCCTGCAGGGTTCCCTTCGCCAGCCGCCCGGCCGGCTCCCGGCCTCGCTGTGAAGTAGCCAATGGGCACAGTGGGGGAGCGCCACTTCGGTCAGACCGCCATTCCACAAACCACTGCACGCCACAACAATAATAATAATAATACTTATTATTATACCCGTAATTGTAAGGATTTACAGCTCGTTGTCAATCCACTGTTGGATGAAGGTCTCGGCCTGTGGGGTGTCCAGGACCAGTTCAGATTGTGCCGTCACTGACGTTAGCCCTGGCTGAGAGCTGAACTCGTGTCACCGGGTTAATAGCGCAGTGCGCTAATCACTACGCCACTACTGATGCCCTTATATCCACAGTGTATGGAGTTAAACGAAAGCAAAAGTCGGAGTGTGTGCGCTCATTATCATTGAGCAGTGCTCATCTTTATCATTGGTCCTGAGCCAGAGGTAGACATTATACATCTTTAGGGTAGGGATTCGTCTCTCCTTGGACAATCACGATTGGCTAAGGGAGTTTATCTTGAGAAACATTCCATTACCTCAAAAACCATCAATGTCTCACACGAATTTAAACTAATGCACGGTTGGAGCGGTGGGGCAATGGCTCAGTGGCGAGTAATATCTCAACCACGCATAGCCATCCCCTTGTTTACCAAACCGGAATGACCAGTGCGGTGAAATATGGTGAAACAAAACATCGTGGCCGACACGGCGTGGAGCGGTCCTCACCACGCAGTGGATTGATGCGTGGGCTGTACGTGCCCACAGCTGTGTGTCGAGGTGAACAGGCGAGGTATGATTGGCTCATCACTGCCCCTGTCTCTCTCTCTCTCTGTGTGTGCTGCAGCGACCTATGAGTGCGTTTAGAGCTGTGCTGGCTTCTGTGACTGCAGTGCGAAATGAAGCTCTGGGAAAATACGAAGAGTTTCGTGGCCAGCCCACGCTACGTCACCCAATCTTCTCACGATTCCTTCTCTCACGACTTTATTCACGTTTTGTCTCAATTAAATCCTATACCGAGTGGCCAGAAAATATAAAATCCCCACCTAATCCCTGGCCTCGCCAGTTTTCTACTCATGCCTCGTGTTGAAACTGCAATTCCTGAACCATTGTTGTAATGTGCCAATGTGTTGCGACGCTCCATGTGTACGTTTCTCCACAACTACTGCCCATGCTTGACGTGTCGCAGTCTCTTCCCTCTGTGGTTCCATGTTGAGTTCTGCTGCAATTCCAACTGCTGTTGTTGGCTTGAGGGCATGCGGCCTCCAATGATCCATCGTCTCAAGAGGATCGCACCAACCGGGCCCCAATATTAGTCGACCACTTCAATTTGGGCCTCAATTGTCGTTGACTTGCCTTTCGTATCTCCATCGTCATAGCAACCCGAGCCTGTCGACAGACGTTGCGATGCCGAGGTAGGCAAGGAGATGAAATGATGGTTGGTCACTTTGGTAACGGATAGAGGGATTAACGACGATAAGTTCTGCTAGAAGTCAAAGCGAGGAAAGACGTGAAAATAATGAGCCGAGACTGGAGCTATCTAATCATCGATTGTATTAATGTGACTGCTGTTTCATTACCATCAGCAATGTATCGGAGAGTCTGTTTAAAAACAAAGTTAATGGGTTACTATGTTTGTCTATGTTGACATTTAATGGAAAGAAATCAAATGTGATGTGTTTAACTTTTAAAGGAAATCATTTTTAGTAACAAGGTATAGTTGCGGCATGAATGTTATGTTTGGTTAAAGCTACACGGCGCGATTGTAGTTGTCTTGAGGTGGTAACAAACAGTAACTTCTGGTTTGAGCAACAAGGCGGCAAGACGTGATGTTGCATTCTTCCGGTTCTATTTGAGATTGTCTCAACCATCTGAAGGGGAGGCAAAATGTTGGCCGGCTGAAATAACAGCGCCGTGTGTGCGTGTTTAACTATACGGGACATAATGGGTTGAAACATTTTAATTGGAAAGCGTGCAGCAATTTGACAAGATGGTTTTTGGGAGTTTGTGTTTTTATTGCTGCAACGTTTTAACATTTCGTTGGCCGAATGATGATTTTGCGATGAATGTCGCGCGTTATTTGTGTCTGTGAATGATTTTCCGGACATTCCGTTTTTAAAGTTATGGTGCTGAGTGGGGTAGCTGAAAGAGGTGCATTCCGTATCGCTTCAACTAAGAATAAGTGGTGGCCCGTAAAACTTAAATAAATCCCACTTGCCTGGACATCCATTTTACTCATGTGGTTAATAGTCCCCTGAATTGTCCATTGATCTGTGGTTTCTTATGGGATCTGTATGAACAATGCATCGTCGTGTGATAAGAACAATGGTTCTGCCATTCTTTATCTGTTTAGTTTTCATTTTTGCAACAATGAATGAGGCGGCATTCCACGGTTGAGATATTTATTTTCGGCGTAAACATTCAGTAAATGTCAACTTGTATTTTGATCCTACAACTGGTGCTGCTTTTATGATGTCCACAGATGTTTGCATCTGGCCTGGGAACTTTCCCTTTAAGTGCTGTGAAGGGCGGTGGTTACTTCTTGAATTGTGCCATCTGGAGCCTCCTCATTTGAACAATATATATTGTCTGGAGCGTTGTATATGATTTGTATTGCTTTGGAGATCTGCATAGAATTCCTCCACGAGTTTTCTATCATACATCGTGTTCCACCTTGCTGTCTGAGAGGTACTATCTGCAATTTCCTTTTGGCAGCATATCTGTATATGAGTTTAACAAGCCTTTAGTTATTTTACCAATTTCATCTGTTTTCACCAGCATAAGGATAACATTGGCATACCATGTAAAGTGCATTCGGCACATGATGATTGGACAAACTTAAATGCTAAGCCACAGGGCTGCACATACGTTAGCACAGAAACATACTATTTTAAAATATGATTATGATAATAATTAATACTATATTAAATATACCTGTATTGTTTAAACGTTCATTTAATTTATCTGTGATGATGCCACTTGTGATTTGATTTGTACAAACGTGGAAACATGACCACAATTACAGCCGGGTCTCTTGCGGGTCTCTTGTGAGTTTCTCGTGTGTGTCTTGTACGTGTCTTGTGGGTCTCTTGTGGGTTTCGTGTTCATCGTTGATGGTGTCCGCAGCACCTTCTTAATTCCGACACCAGCAGTTCCTGCGTGTACGGAGCACATGCAGCCTGCCCAGGGCAGACTCTGCACACGCGCGCGCTGCGTTGTGGATTTCCTTGGGCAGAAAATTGCCTTCGCTTGGAGAGCCGTGCGGGCGCCCTCTGTTGGAGTGTGTTTGTGTAAAGCAGCCTCATTCGGCGACAAGGTCCTTCCTGAGTGAGGACCATTTAGTGCGGCCTTTTGAAGTGTAAACTGCAGCAGATAGTGGATGTCGGACTTGTAAACAGGTTTTGTAATTGGTAGCATTCGTTATTACTCTTACATGCCTCCTATCGACTGCCAAGCTACAGCTTGTAGAGGACACGAGGAAGAGAGCTAAATAATAATGTGCCGATTCGTATAATCGCTTACATTGTAATAGGCTATAGCAGAAATTAACATTTTACAAGCTTAACTAAACTCCGTATAGTTAGGCATTCGTATTATGTAACAAAAAAGTACGACTCTTATAAATCCACTGATGTTACCACTGGTTGGGATGCGAACTCATGTCGCAGGGTATCAAAACAACTCCTCCCATAGCACACTGCGCTACGATCCTGACGATCTGAGTTCCATACTCAACCCACAGCTAACGACAGTGGCGATATCTGACACGGGTTATCCGTCCCATCTCCCGTACTGACCATGGTGCTGAAATTAGTTCAAACAACCCCGTGGCTGACACGCAATAGGGGTTACGCCTTCATCCAGCAGTGGATCTACACAGGGCTGAGAAGGTAACGTGATTTAGTTTCGCTCTCTCTCTAACTCACACCTAACGAGCGCGACACTCACCACTGCACCAGTCTCTCCCAACTTACATATGTCCTCTTCACGCCACCACTGACGCCTCCTCCACCGCCTGCGATGCAGCATGCGTTTGTAGGGCCCGGCTCGCTCTGGCACGGGTAAAGTTGACGCCGCCCGTAAGGTCACTGGCACGGCACTTGAACTCCGTGCAACGTCTGTGGGTTACCCGCAACATCGTAGAGCTCCCGCGTGACGTCGGCGAATAAACACGATCTCAAGGAGAGGACGACATTTCAGTGATGACCCGGATCGACCGCGGATCAACTCCACCCCTCCCCGTACAAAACCAACCACGCCGTGCCGTTCAGTGGCCTATCCCCCCCCCCCCCCACGCCGTCCCCTCTTCATTGGTGGCGCATGGACGGTGGAGCCGTCAGCCCCCAGCCCTCTCCATCGATGGTCGCGCATGTGCAGTTGTGTCGACAGACGGACAAACAAAAATCGCATCCGTAATGATCGCTCGTGTTCTTGTTTTGAGATCGCGCGAATAGGAATGCGTCGTTAAACCCGCCACCACCCGACACAGCAAATTAGTAAGGTTTGTCGCGTAAACAGAACGTGCCAATTCGTTACTAGTTCAGCACACATACACACGGACACGAATCCACGGAGAGAGACACACGCGTGCGTGTTCCGCTTTAACGCGAGTAGGAGCCTCCTACATCGCGGGCGTTATTCGCGTTTCCCGATGCCCGCGTTCTAGCATCGGGACTTTAACTAATCGCCCCGCTAAGCATGGGCCCCATATTTTGTAGAGAGTGCCGAGATACGCTCGTGTTATAATGCTCGGTGGCTTGAACGGTTGATCGGTTGTTCTCCTGACCGGGAGGTCGATGGTTGACCTCAGGTGTCGGTTTGGTTGACCTTCGTTG